GCATGTGTCCCTTCTGCCCAGCACTGGACCCACCCAGCTGCACACAGCTTTGCTAATGCTGCTAATGGCATCTCAGCTTATCAATGCATAATTGAATCTAATTTTCAGCATGCTTTTTATATTTTCTTTTTCTCTCACCTGAGACAATAAACATCAGCTCCTGTAAGGCAATCTCATTTAGGTTTACACTGTGTTTTATGTTCATATTTTCAGTGCTGCAGCCTTTGAGTGGCAAATCCATGGAGGACTATTTGTAAGTACTTCTGTGAAATTAAAGCAGACCCCCTACTGAGGGCAGGCACTTCAACAAGTAAAATAATTTAAAAACAAATAACTATGAAGGAAAAACAATATCCTAAAGGAAAGTTATTTGGCCAACTGTAGCACATACATTAGTGAGATCTGATATACACAAAATAAACACATTTCCATGCATAAATTTTTGAAGGATTGGTGACACAGATATGAAGACATCTAACCATTTTTTTTTTCCTGCTGAATTTCACATTACATTTGATAGAAAATATTGCTTATTTCTTTCCCTCAGACAAAAATAATTCCCATATAGAAGGTGCAGATTCTGAAAAGAAGCCTCCATTAGCTAGGGATAAGAAGACAGGTAATGGTCCTAAGCTGCAGCAGGGGAGGTTCAGTTTGGATATTAGGAAAAGTTTATTCTCTGAAAGAATGGTAATGCACTGGAACAGGCTGCTCAGGTAGGTGACAGAGTCACTGTTCCTGAAGGTATTCAAGAACTTTGTAAATGTGGCATAAGAGACATAGTTACTCACCATGGTGGTGATGGGTTGATGGTTGGAGTAGATGAACCTTAATGACTTAATGTCTCTGTGGTTCTATATGCTCTGCTTGGTGGATCATGGTGGCTGCACTGATCTAGGAGGTGTGCATGACTCATGGCTCTGTTGGCCTGTCCCTCCACAGGGCATGGGGAAGACGTCCCATTCAGAGCTACCACCTCACTGCTTCCCTAAAGAATTACCTTTAATATCTTTTACTTTTCCCGAAGTATTTAACAAAAACCTGAAGATGATTATTTTTTTCCCCTTCTCATTACACAGGTGACAATGCTAGCCTCACACAATGGTCAAATTATTACAAAAATAACACGAGCCAAGAGAAGGAGAGCAATTCTCTGAGCACAGTTCTGCTTTGACCAATAGCCACAGTGCGGGCCTTGCTGCTTTCTGTGAGCAGGAATATTCACTGGAAGGAATAGACCTGTTAAAGAACAGTAATAGCAGTAATAGCAGTTCAGTACATGGACTTTTTTTACTTTAGCAGGTTTTTATTATTTGCAATAATTTTTATAATTCTAATTAGGCTGTGTAATAGCATCTCTCTCCATGGAGCAAGGTGAGTCCACAAACTTCAGGGCCATGTACTATGTGTTTTGAGGGAGTGGCTCATTCCTTTTTTTGCCAAGGTATTGTGCAGTGCTAAACTGTACTTTGGAAATTCATGTACAACTGTTAGGTGACACAGTTATCCTTATTTTACCCCTTTGGACAAGTTTGTTTATGTTATATCTCCAGCAGTTTTCCACTGATATTTCCCCCTTTTATTTCATTACCAAATACATCCTCATCAGTTTCTGTTAATGTCATTTTGCTATTTTTATCAAGAAATCATAGAATATCACAGAATATCCTGAGTTGGAAGGACCCAAAAATCAGACCATATGGCTGAGAGCATTGTTCAAATGCTTCTTGAACTTCAGCAGCTTGTGGCCATGACCACTGCCTTGGGGAGCCCCTCCCAGTTCCCAATCACCCTCTGATGAAGAACCTTTTCCTAAAGCCCGAGCTGACCCTTCCCTGTCACAGCTCCACATTGTTTCCTTGGGCTATAGGTGGTCACGAGGCCTCCCCTCAACCTCCTCTGTTCAGGGCTGAAAAAACCAAAGGAGCCCAGTCACTCCTCATACACCTTGTCCTCCAGACCCATCTCTGCAGACTTCCTTTGGACACTTTCTAATTGTTTTATTTTTGTACTGTGGTGCCCCAAACTGTACACAGTGCTTGAAGTGATGTGGAACAGCTGGGAAGAGGAAGGGAAAGGATGCATACACAAGGGTAGCATGCACCATATTTTTTTTGAAAAAGACAAGAAAGCCTTTACACACATACACAGAAAAAACACCCAAACACTAGAGTTTCCTAACATCGATTCTCCAGGCTGGTGACTGCCAGTGCTGCTGCGTGAACATTGTGTGATGCTATGGGGACAGACTTGTCCTTATGTGAAGACATGTGCTATGGGAGAGCATTACATACTGGCAATTTTGTCTATAGCGTGGTCTCTAAATTACGGAAAAAACCTTTTGGTTCTACGTTACATTGAATTTGAGCATGCCAGAGACATCAGTAATTTTCCAGAGGCTCAGCCAAAGGGGCTGCATATAAAAAATTCAAGACTGGGATTATTTATTCCTGGCCAGGCATTTTGCTTTAGCCATGGCAGGAAAAACCTCAGTTGCCATCAGCATGTAACTGGTTACTCCACTTTTTGGCTCCAGAGACCCCCACTGCAGCACTGGGCATGAGGAGGATGCAAGGAGGGTTGATTCCTGCAGCCCCAGAGCCAAAGGTTTTAGCAGGGGCATGGGACTGTCCTGCTGGGGGTACCCCAGGTGCTGGTGGGACTGGAGTGATGTGTTCCTCACAGCTGTGGGCCTGGTGCCCAGCAAGAGCCAAGCAAAGCTGTCAGACAGAAGCAAATCCCAGTATATTTTGCTAAAAGGGTTTGGTAGCCTGCAGCTAGAAGGGTTTGTCTTGACCTGAGGGGGATGCTGCAGGATGTACAGATGACAGGAGGAAATGTACAGCGCATGAGTGCAATGTGTATTTCTGTAATTATTTTACTTCTCATTTCCTCTCGGGCTTTGACTGCATCCCTTGTTCTCTGCCTCCAGAGGCAGAGTGCCACTCTGTGAAAAATCAGACTTAGTTATTACACCTCGCAGCAATAGCCACAGCATTAGCACGGCTCAAGGGCCAGATGTCATTTCTCATTTGCAGACTTTTCTCAATACTGTGTACAAATTGAGAGAAAAACGTTGCAAGTAACATTATATTTTTGAAGACAAGCGCAGACAGTACTACACTGCGCAAGCAGCAGCGTGTCCTTTCACTAGAAAATTTCAATTGAAGTTATTCAAATCTATATTTGAAATAGATAGAGTTTACAGAGTAATGAAATATAGCATTTCATGCTGTATATTATGAAATAGAAGAAAATAAGATTATTTCTTTAAGCATATCAATTATTAAATTATCGTAAGAATGTATGTATATAAATAATTCTGGGAGCCACTCTGATTAGATTACTTTGATATGACGGAGCGGGTTTTGATTATTTTTGCTGCTTTGCAATAAGGATGGAAATTCTAAGTAGATTTCAGGAAGATTTTCTTCTAACACTGCAGCAAGGGGTAGCAGACAGACAATAAATAATAACGTAGAACAGGAAACTGTACAGACTTTTTAATTCACACAATTACATTCCTGTATAAAAGAGGATGAAGTTATCACTGAACACAGATTTTTTTTGAAGAGTTTCATTGTATTTATTAGATAAGCAACATGTAGGGCATTTAATACAAACCATTCTCCTCTTACTTACAGAACTCCTTCTACAAGACCAGCGGGCAGTGCTGCTGTGAACTGGGCTGCCAGGAGATCTGCAGACATGGCGTTTGTGCCATGTGCTGAGCACTGACAGCATCACGTACTCCTCTCCTCCACTGAACATAAATAAGTCTTCCTTCCTCACCTTGTGCAGCTGGCAGCCATCTCATGTACTGGAAACAGCTCCCTTCTCCATGAGATGCTGGCACACTGCAGTGGGACAGTGAGGGGCTGTGAGGAACTGAGGCAGAGTGGTGGTGGGTGGTGGTTGGTGTTCGGTGGGCTCAGCAAGAGATTTGTTGCTGAAGCTCAAGGGAAGAGCAGATTTAGGAGATGGGGAAAACAGAAGGAGTAGGGGTGAAGTAGAAGGCAAGCATGTGGTCAAAAGGAGGAAGGAAGAGATGTTTATGCAGGTTCTTGGTGCTGAGCAGTAATTGCAAGAGAAAGATTCTTGCAACCAGGAGATCTACCAGAAATGTAAATGTAGCAGTAAAGGTGGGCAAGAGTGCATCGACGCTTCCCTAGAGGCAGGCTGCTTCCAAAGAGCATCAGCCCAAGGTGCTTTCTTTGCCCGGTTTATGCCAATCCGAGAAAGGAGAGAGGCTGTATTGAAATCTGTGTGGCAGGATCTCCATTCATGCTAAGAGACTGCATTCAGGGGCTTACAAAGGGCATGAGTCAACTGCAAAGAAAAGAGGCATTTCACAGAAGCTGAAGTGTGACCCTTTGTTTTTCCTGACCGCAAGGTCACCAGCAACACAAAAGGGGATCCTAGCACTGATTCTGCAGCAACAAATGCCTGTTGTGAGTGAGTGTATTTGCTGAGCAGTGACAACAAGGAGCGACTGGAGGTGCATGCTTCCAGCCCTTGTTTCCCAAGGGACAGAGGGGGAGAGGATAGGCTGTGGGTAAGCTCTGCCCACTGGAAGGTCCATACAGAACCTCTCCAGAAATAGTGCACACACTGACCATGCTCACTACTGGGGCAACTGCAACAGTGGGATTTTGGATTGGGCGCTGCAAAACCTAAGGAAAAAAGTACCTCTTTTACTTAATTCTTAGGTGAAGAGGATTTTTCCCAGTTTAGGACTAGCAAGGGATTAGGGTGGTTTAGGAGCCTTGTCTTTATCTCAGTCTTGCATTAGCCCATGACCACTTTCTTTCACATTTAAAGTCCACATGAAAAGGATGCTTTGCTTTGCCCTTTTCATTGCTATGCAGTACTGCAGCTCCCCATTAAAGTTCATGACAGAATGAGGGTGCAGAACGATGGATTTAAGGGTGTCATAAAACTTCCTGGCAACCGGTAGTCCCCAGATATATTCTGGTTGTGACCCAGGAGAGGCTTCTGGAGGCTACTGGGACTGCAGAGCTTTTGAGCTGAGGAAATGTATTTGCATATGGATGTCATGCTAAGGAAGCAGGGCAGCACGGATTTCATTACTGCTAATGACATGTGGGAGAAGTGATTTAGTTTACAGCCAGTGCCAGGCGTGACACAATGAGGAAGCACTTAGTTCATGCAGAGCTTTATCTTGCTTCTAAGACCCCAAAATCTGCAGCTCTGGGAGGCCCAGAGTTACATGACACAGTTTTGTTAGCACGGGAGCACAAACAGAGCTGTCACTGAGAGGAAAGAAGAGCGCTTCAAGATATGGTACTGGTGTTGTAGAGGCAAGGAAAAGAAGAGACCAGGACAGAGAGCAATTGAGGACAGAAACCCAGCACGTAGAGGTGGCTCTGTGGCAACCACAGTGGCCAAGGCTGGACAGTTGGACCTGGGAGTTGCCAGAAATGTTATTCAAAGTCCTTGTTCTAACATGCCCAACACAAAACACTGGAAAATGCCCTGGGCTTGGGGCAAGGTGTCTGGCTGTAAGGAAAGGAGAAGAGAGATTTCTGAGAACTGAGAAGGAGAAAAAGGGCCCCAGGACACGTTGAAGCTGGAGTAGCTGGGAACTGCTACACAGTCAGAGCCCCCCATAGCATCCTCATCGCAGAGAGAACTATATCTGGTTTTACTGCTGCAGGAAGCACTGCCTCAGGGAAAGGAGAGCAGAGGGGCCTAGGGCACTTTATGGGCATAGTCATTAGGGAAGAAGGAAATCTAAATTCCTGGGCAGCTTCAGGAAGAGCTGTTTGAACTGGGATCAGTATTTAAGGTGGTTTTTCAGCTGAGAGTACTGAATCGATCAAGCAGAAGAAAGCAGCCGGAGAGGAGAGGGCGTTTGAGAAGAGAAGTGAGTCAGAGGGATTAATGACAGAGATTAAATGGCCATGAGCCTGGTGCATTCTGTAACAGTGAGCTGAGATAACAGCTGAGAGCCCACACCCCACCCAGGGTGTGCTGGGCCAGCAACACCCTCTGCTTTCAGAGGAGCACCACTGCCTACCTGCAGCTCACAGCTGGAAACCTGCAGCAAGATTTTTGAGCAGGAATTATTCCTGCTTTATGCATAGCACAGCAGCTGTTTTTAATGGCTTGTAACCATTTGGCTGCAATCACCCACAATGCATGTAATTAAAAATGTTATGAGCTGCTAAAATTCACTCCTGGAGCAGTCTGCAATTACTATCTCTGGAAATACAGGATGTTTTGGGGTACTATGTTATACTGTGGGGTACTAAGCTATGTTGTTATGCTCTGGAAAGGGAACTCAGCCAGTCAGCTGCACCAGGGATGTGAAAACCATCTCAGTGATTAAAGAAAGGGGGAATACAGTTTGGAGAGGTCCCTGAATTCTGCTTCATCACAGCTGAAATCAAGGATGTGCTACAGCGATATTTATCAGTGCTAACTGGAAAATCAATGTGTGTTTACTGGTTATTGCAGCTGAAGTTACAAAAGCTGTAAGATGTCTTTAAAGACCAGCTTCAGCCAACTCTATGCTGTTGAACGTGTTATACTGTGTGTCACCTGAATGATCTTCATACCCAGCTGCAGAAGGGCAGTGTGTGGACTTCATTTAAAAAAGTTAGAACATGATATGACATAAAAGATGAAGCAAGAATGAGATAAATTTGCAGAGAACCTGAAAAACAAGAGCTGGATGGAATAATGTGCAGCATTTTTGTAGAGGAAAAAAGAAGAAGAGACTATGCCAAGATATTATTTTCCAGTGAGGCTCTGGTGGCAGGCTGAAATCTGCTGGGGATGGCTCATTTCTCCTCAGCAACAACAGCAAGATTCAAATAATGCTTTCCATTTCCCAGGTTCAGCAGATGAAGGAAAAAAAAAACTACTTGGGAGGCAAACAGAGTAGATTTGCAAATAGAGGAGAATGTTTTATGACCAGACTTGCAAACATTTGGCTCCTGAAGATGCCAGAAGACTCTGCATCTGCTTTAATGAATGTGGGTTGATGTCTTCTGATTATTTCTTTGAGATCTGCACCGTTCTTAAGGAAGTAGTTTTATATCATCTATGACAAAGCCAGCATTCACCTTCACACAGAGGGCAACCTACCTGAAAGCCTGAACTGCACAGCGTTTGATAAGTGAGGAAGGTGAGCTGGAGCAGACTTCTATGAAGCATTCAGTAGTTCCTCTACCAAGGTACCTCAGCTGTCCTTCAGTTACAGCATCATTAAAGGTGGAATAGGCTCTTCTGTTCATGTCTTCTTTATATTTTGGCAAAACAATAGATGTTAGTAGAAACATTTCTTTTTCAAATGTACCTAGGAAATTATTGCATTCTGTTCAGCTGAGTGTAAAAACAGACTGCAGAGCAGCAGATGCTTACAGTAATTCATAAGAAATCTGAAATTGGTCATTAATTGCTGTCTCAGGGGATAAAGGTTTTTCATGGCATGAATCTCTTTAGCAAATACGATAACAGCACAAGTAATGCTGTTACTCTACTGGGAAAGATGTAGTTGTCCTTCTAATCCTTCTGCTCCTTTGTTGTATTTTTACAGCAGGAATATACTTTGTGGTAAATTGGATGGTGGAAACATCTTCCAAGGGAAGCACATACAGTGGTTGTTCCAAAAAGGTGTTCTAGATCAGAGAAGTCTGTCTTTCAATTATTTTTTTTTTTTTCTTTAACTTTTATTCTTTTAAATCTGTATCTGGGATCTCTTGGCCTCAAAATCTTGCATGACTGGGTCTGTAGGCAGTTGGCTTCTGCAGACACCAGAAGGCTCCCCATTTGTTTTGACCAAAACAGATTGATTATTTTGTCAAGATCCTCACGGTTCTTGAGGCAGTAGTTATCATATACTCCCTATGTCAAAATCACTGTTCAGTTTCTCTTCATGTAGAAGACAACTCACCTGTAGATTCAAACTGTATGACTGTTCAGCTATGAGCAAATGGCTGAGGGAAAACCAGAACAGCCTGGACATGCTGTGCCTCAGTGGTTGCCACAGGGGACCTACGGTGTCACCTTGACTTCTTTCATTTCCAGGAAGGCTGGATTTGGGTTAGCATGTAATGGGATTGGGTCTCCCTGTATCTTTATGTTGTTCCTATTATAATGTATCTTCCTTAAGATAAAATCTTCTTTAAACATAAGAGGAAAAGAGAGAAAGAGAGGGCAGCCAAGGATTGTATATGGCATCTGTAACATTTAATTATATGAGACAGGGATTTTCCAGGATGCCATTGCAACACAAAGAACATTTAGATATCAGCATCACAGTATATATTTTCTAAATCACAACACCCACGCATTTCCTTAGCCAAGGAGAAGTTTTCCTTCTATGGCTGCATATCTAAAATTAGCCTGAAGGTCAAATCTGAATAGAAATACCCTTGCCTTGAACGTGCTGGGAATGATTGGTGCAATGGGCTCAATTTTCCCATCGAAAACCTTCATTTATTTTTCAAATAACAGTTGCTTTTACAATTAAAGAGCTTGGAGAAAGGCAAAACGAAGCCCGCTGTATAAAATCATCATCAATATTCTGCTTTCATTGCAAGGCTATTTTTATAGTCAACCATTAAAAAAGTAACAAGATGGATACAGTGAAGCTATAGTACAAAAGATACAGCAAGAGGCTTCAGAATAGCTGAGCTGAGCGCCGGCATGTGAAAGAATGGCCTTAAAATGCAGAAGATGTTTGTATATAAAAGATACGCGCAACAAAGAAAATTCTAAGTTAAGAAAGATACCGTTAAGAACAAATGAATAGTTTAGGTCTAAAAATAATTGCTTAACCTGCAGTCATATTGTGTGAGGGCTGTGCAGTCTACGCTGCACAAACGCGAAAGCACCGTCTTGCAAAAAGTGCATTTATCAGCCACAGTGTTTTATTGAGTGCTTTAATAATACAAGTGTACATCAACTGATCCACAGTCAAAAGTGGCAGGTCCCTAAGAAATTTACAAGCACTTTTCTTTTAAGTAAATCAAAATACATATTAATTTGTTCAATGCAATAGCCTTTTGTGTGGGAAACAGAAGGCTAGTGATAAACACAGTCTTAGTAATGCACAGTGATTCTTGATTTTAAGCTTTTATACAAAACTTGTTCCCAGTAGCATGCACCCACCATTAAAGACTTCAGTACAAAAAAATAACCCTAAACACTACATTTAAGTAGAAACGAGATATAATTCTGAATTTGTTTGTTTTCCCAAAAAACACATGAAAGAAAAAAAAACACACATTAATACAAAGCTTCGTGACAAAGCTCTATACTATTACAGATCCAACATTCTTTGCACTGATAACCAAAATTCCCTGTCTACATTTGAGGGAAACAGCTTTCAAGTTAACAGAACAACAACAAAAAAAACCCAAACAAATAAAAATAAAAACAAAACAAAAAAGAAAAGGTTCAAAATTTAATAAAAAATAAGAATGAAGGGAAGGGCTATTGAAGCACTTAGTGAATGTGCTTGCACAGGTCCAGCAAATCCTAGAGGAGGTTCCTATGTGGCGTATCGCTTGGTCCACTGTCTGGCCATTCTGTCATGCTCTGCTCTGTTAGTCATATACTGAGTGGCAATGCTTCCAACCAGGGGGTCAGCTGAAAAGGAAACACAAACCATGAAATGCTTGTCAGCCTTGGAAGGAAGAAAAGACTGTCCTCAGATACAGATTTATTCTGTCCTCTTAGCTTTAACTGTAAGAACAAGATGTCTACATATTTTATTCTCATTTTGAAAGCATGCATGCATACAAGAGGAAAAGAGCAAAAGCATGGGGAGGAGCTGGCGGGGCAATTAGTTGCAAGTTTCTGGTAAACATATGACTTGAATCATTTTCTAAAATTATGCCTCATGAACAAATATTCCAATCATTTTAGTTTGAGCGAAGAATGGAAAAAGCAAGAATTTCAGATGACAAGAATAAAAACACTAAAAGCCATTTATTTATGGTACTAAACTTTCACAGATACCTATATTGCTACCTAAAGGGAGGATGGGCTCCAATTCTATTAGCAGGTTTTGTTTTCTTTTTCTTTTTTTTTTTTTTTCAATTGTATTTTAAAGAATAAAGAAAGGTCAGAAATGAGGGCAACGAATACTATTTGAATACTGGCGTTCAATTTGTGAGGTTTTGTTGAGCATTCATGTGTCCAGAATGCTTCATGATTCTGTCCTCTATAGCTACTTCTGTATTTCCAAAAAGAAGAAATAACCAGAAAAAGTCTGTTGTCATTAATCTGGATCTACAAATTACTGTCTAGTTAATTAAATAAAACAAGCTAGCCCTCTAAGAAAAACAAACCAAAAAAAGACTTTCCCAGAGTAATCAATGTTTTTCTCCTTTCAGTTGATTTCCCTCTTTGGAGAACCCAAACTCTTGGTAGTCCTCCTGAAACAGTAAATTTCCTGTATCACCACACCATGTCAGTTCTGCGGTACTTACATACATTTTTTTTTCCTGACTTAGGCTAGGCACATGACTCCTTATTAGGGCCAGTTAATAATCAGCTCTGCAGTTGACTGAAGATGGTGCCACTGAACAATATGAATGTCAGCTTCCCCCAGTACAGTCGTAACCTGAGTGTTGTGTTTGCACAGCATTATTAACCACCAGGATTCCCAGGGAGAGATGTCAAGCTGTTGGCAAAGTCAATCCCAGGTTTTTATTTGTTTGTTGATGATAAGCGTTTATGATAGGATAAGTACATTGCTTTAGCCAAATCAATTGAATGACTTGCTGCCAACATAACTGAATATTAGCAGATAATACCTAATGAAAAAATACTTTGCTTTGAAAGCGTACTTTCAGGAAGAGCCCATGATTTGAATACTAAGTTTGCATCTTCTGAATTAGTAAGGCAAGATACCACTGCAGCTGTGGCATACTAAGACCCCATAGTCTCAGTCCTGCAAGCACTTAATGCATATGTTTAACTTCAATATCTTAATATATCCAGAGGAGGTCACCGAGGCCCAGACTTTGCTATTTTTACATGCATGAGTGTCAAAGAGGTACAGCTGAGCTAAGATCCATTTAAAAATTTTCAGAATAGAAAATATATCACCTTTGGCTCTGCAGCCAAAGAGAAGAATCACATGGGATTACTGGAAGGATTTTGTTCAGAACAAATAGGATTCTGGAAGCCTCCTAGTGTTTAAGGAGTACAAAGTTGTCTCAAAACTCATTACAAACAACCACGAACAAACTGTAGGGTAAATGAGCAACTTGGGTAATGGAGAAGTGCCAAATGTCTCTTGGCAAAAATTTAGGGACCAGGCTGAAGGAACTGGTTACAGTGGCTCAAGGCTAGATCCGACAGCGCTGATCCAAGAAAAACTTCCATGCAACTACAGAGGAAGAAAGAGTAAGGGTGGAGCTCAAAAGGAATCACTGAGCAAAATTTGATGAATGTGTTGGTTTCAATACCGTTAGGAAAGGTGGGCTTTGACCTCTGAGGCAGCTGGTGATGACTACTTGGAAGAGTATCATGACATTGTCATCTGGATCATGGTAAGTGCTTAGCGAGGTTTAGAATCATAGAATGGCTTGGGTGGAAGAGACTTCAAAAGATCATCTAGCTCTAGCCCCCTGCCATGGGCAGAATTGCCACTCACCATCTCAAAATTCCATCCAACCTGGCCTTAAAAGCCTCCAGAGATGAGGCATCCACAGCTTCTCTGGACAGCCTGTGCTAGTGCCGCACAGTCCTCTCAGTAAAGAATTTATTCCTTCCATTTAGTGCATACTTAAATGGCTGCAGCTAAGGTCTTCTCAAAACTTGATGTTGGTGCATTGAAAAGCAACATCGTGTAATACAGATTAACTCAAATCTGAAAATGTTTTTATGTGCAGGATGAATGTTTATATAGAAGTGTCTTTCAGATAAGAGCTACAAATCAGTTTCCCTGATAACTGAAAGGGTACTGAGTATTACATAAGTAATCTAAGGCTGGGGATGATTATGTGGGTTTCTATCCATATTTCTTTTTGGGCATAAGGATATATTTCAATTACGTATCTGGAAGGAGTTGGGTCCTTCCTACAGCTCCTCCCAGCCACCAGAAGGGTGGCCAATTTCTTTTGAGGTGGATGAATCCATGAGAGCAGTTTCTGATGTGAAAGTGGTGAAATCAGCTGAAGCTCAGTAACGTAGGGCTTTCTCCTGTGGAAAGAACACCCAGATCCATGTACTGCTGATGACCATATCACCAAAGTGAAGACAAGTGTGTGAGTAAAGAAAGGAAGGGAGTGAAACAGCTGGGGAAAGAGAGTCTCCTCCAAAACAGTAACCTAGTAATTGCTAGATGGGATACCAAGCTGAAAGATCAGGATAGCTCTCTCCAGAGAAGATCCTATGTCACATCTCTGTCAGAGAGTGCTGAGTTGTGTTGTCATTACATGTAGTTATTTATAAGGACTTCTTATTGAAGTCTTCAACAGGTTTTAGAAGAGCTAGTTTATTTTAGCTCCTGTAAAGCCACAAAACTGGCATAACTGCTTTGTTTGGGAAGCTAGGACAACTAGTGAGGAGGAAACATCTCACTTTACATCAGTCACCTTGTTAGTGTCACACTGACCATGTTGATGCAGCATACTGCATTTGCATTGGTGGACATACAGCAGGCACATGAATTCCAGACATGCAAATGGTCCTTTCCTGCTCCTGCATGAAGCCGTGCACCTTCAGGCCCAAGCCACATTGTCCTGCTGGAGGCAGCAGCTGAATAGCAGGCCCAAGCAGACAGACAATTCTGGTAACATGCAATGAGTCATGACTTGGCATCTTTACAGACCTCATGGGGACAGGCTATAAAATTCAGATAATCAGACAAACTGAATTAAAATAATTTCAAATACTTCATCCTGCATAGGCTGTGACCATAGTGTTCAAAATGCTTGAAAAGAGAAACTCAAAAACTATCCCTTCAGAGTAGGAAATAGTTGAATACAGACCAGTTCTTAGCTGGGCTGCATAGAATGAGGAATATTGTAAAAATATCCATCAATACAACAAAATACATATTTATAAAACAACTGCTGCACAAATAATTGAAAGAGAAAAAGGAATACTCAGGATTCTTAGAACTGCTTTCCCCATGTTTCTCATTACTATAACACTGTTTCTTGTTTACCATTTGTATATATCTGTTTTACTCTCAATGTTAGGAATTTGTTTCCATAATTAGTAAACTGCTCTAGTTTTTTTTTTTTGGAAGTAGTGTGATTCATCAGTGAATCAGGGCCATTTCAGAAATCCACTCCAAATGGGGCTTTGTCCAAACAAAAATGAAAAACAGGGTTCAGAATATAAAGCTACATCAGAAATACATTATCAGAACGACCTAGTGAAATTAACAAAAATAAAGCCACAATAGATTAGTAACAGCACCAACTACCTTTCAAATATACAGAAATTAAGACAAAAAATGGGACAAAGCTTTGTTACAGGGAATACTAACAATCTCTGGCAACATCATTCTCAGAAACCTGGGCCCTTACAGAAACGAACTCAATCAAACTTTGGGCAACAACTAGCATGGCAGGATGCTCATACACTGGGATCTCTCAGGTCACCAGATGCACCACGCCTGGCTTGAGAACTGCTGTGTCCTTGGTGTGATACCCTGTCCTGTGGCCAAGCAGAGACACACCAGCCTGCAGGGTGCCAGAGATTTGGGAAGCTGGAATAACAAAGAACAACTATGTGCTGCACTTAGCTAGAGAGCTGGAGTTCCTGCCTCACTTAAATGTTGGATATGCAGCTCTGTAATGACTTGTGATCTTCTTTTGCAGCCACTTAATATGACTGTATAAGGAAGAACATTTGTGTCTCATATCTGTTGTAAAGCTAATCAAATTTACAGCCCAATTCTGGGGAGTTAATGCTATTGGGGATTTCAATGAGCTGAGGTTTGGTCATTACAAAATTTCAGCTGTGTTTAATGCTAGTTATACTGCTTTATCATTCAGAAGACAGACTATAATTCTTCTTTAAAACTACTTTCCTCCAAAATAAATGAAAATATATTGCTATACTGTATTTTTCCCTGCTTGTATTTTTACAGCTATTTCTATGTCAGCAAATAGCAATTTCAGAGCAGAATTCATCTCCTGGGCTTTTCAATGCTGTTTTAAAAATACAGAGAACATACTCTAGTGAAATAAAAAAATATGAGAGTGTATTTAACAGCTTGATTTCAATGTCTCTTCTCCATCAGCCACACAATATGCAAAGAAATTCCAATTGTTAGTGCCAACATGGTTAAAGAGATATTTAGACTTAAAATGTACATTATGGGTATTTGTATGCATTATGTATATTTACGAGCACTTATAAAAGAATAATATTTCAATTGCAGTATTTTACAGTTTTAATAGACAACAGCTGATGGAGCCAGTTATTACACCATCATAAATGAGTTCTCAAAAAGATTCCTGGGGCACCTTAAAAACTAAAAACCACAACCATATAAAAGTCTCAGTTTCTTCAGCCAAATATTTACAACATGTATATATGTATTTTTGTCCAGGTACAGTTTCAGCTCTGTATCACAGGGAATTCTGATGAACTGGCCTCCAGCTGATGAAGCAGAATTA